CCGCTGACTGTATTGGCTTCCCCCCATTTCAAAGACTAGCAAGTGGGCAACATTGAGAGTGTGTGCTCTGTGATTGGCTGGTGACCGGAGCAGAGTTTATTACTGGCTCTTCCCAATGGATGCTGGGATACACTGTAAAAAATGAAAAGTTGACTGAACTCGTCAGAGTAAGGCAACTAGCAGCAAAGAATGTTTCAGTTTGCTCAAATTCAAGTCCCACTAGTCGCCCAAACTCTTTTTTGAGAGAACTTGTAACTTGAAGTTGAGCAAACTCCAAAATGTTTTGCAGCTGGTTGCCTTACTTTTTGAACTTAACTCAGCTTTTTATTTTTGACAGTGTAGGATTGCTGTAAAAAGTCACTACAAAAACCATGAAGCGCTGTATCGCTCCAGACTTGTGGCTTGAGATCTCTAGAGAAGAAGACCTGTGCACAATTCCTTATGGCAGACTTCTGTTTATAAAATCAAATTTGCATAGAAAATACATAGGTATGGTTGTTCAGAATCACTGATTGACAGTGATCTCTTGAGACTAAAAACATGCTAATGATGAATCCTATCAGCATACCCACCCTTCCATCTCTGTAGCACATTCTAGATATCCTCATTGGAAACATTTTCCATACAAACAAGACATGGTGGATGGGAGCTTAGGGATTTTCTGGGGTTTTGTTTTTTTGGACAGTCAGATCAGAGAGACCCTCATTCACCATGACCGCCGTGTTGAGAGGAGATAACGTAGGGAACTGAAGTGTTGAGTTCGGTCACGCTGGGCTGTGAGGGAGATCTACAAGCATTCTTAGGCTGAGAACCATGGGTTTAATTCCCTGGCAGGACAAAGCAGAAGAACGTTGGTGGATCAGGTTTTACACCATAGTATGTTCACAAACGCATGATTAAAATATTTTTAACGGAACATTCAATTGCTGATGTAACAAGCACTACCAGACGCAAGGAACTCTGACGTGGAATAGTGACCAAAAAATTCCAAAAAAACCTACTTTTCAAACAAATCGAGTTCTAGAACAGTGAAGAATTAACCCCTTTGCACAGATATAGATGCCGGTGTGCGTAAATTCCAAAATTTAATTCCAGAATAATTCTGTAAATGAATTTCCAAATATCTTGCTTCTCTGAAATAATTTTCCACAGTCTCTGTGACACAAATACTGAGTTATAAAGCCTAAATAGGCTTATGCATTACAGGAAAAAATTGGCATTATTTGTCTTCTGCGCAAAGGGGTAAAGGGGTCTTCAGGGTAAAAATTTCCATTTTTTTCCAAAATTTACATATTTTTGATTTTCACATAAAATAAAGGAATGCAGTGAGATGCCAGTAAACACCAAGAATCTATGTTTTTCCTCTGCCTCAATAGTCACTTGTGACTTTAAATGCACATTACCGAAAATCACAATTTTGACTGATTTTCAACCTTGTGGCATTCATAAAATTATTAATATTCATCTGATTGACTTGAAATTTGGACTGAAGTTGTATCTGTTGGTGATCTATGAAACTACTTAGGATTTTCTAGATAGGTGCATCCCTAGGGGGTTTATTTTGGAAATGAAGCAAGTAGATGATAGCGATTTTCTTCATGGTTACATAACAAAGCTCATTAAATATTCATAAATGTTCCTAACAAAAAAAATCCTATGTCATTTCATAGAACTATCTTAAACCTTTCATATGAGACTAATTTGAGTAAAATCTGACCATGGGTTATTGAAATATCAGCGCCACAAAATATTTTCAGATTTTGTCATTAAAGTGCCGTTTCCATGGCAACCATGCAAATTTTTATCAAAATACTGCATTTTATGAGGTTAAAATCATGTTGAGTATGTTTATTTCTTAGTTTTTACATTATTATGGTTATTTCTACACTTTACCCCGAAGACCCCTTAAAAAAGAAAAACTGGCCTTGATGAGAACTTGGCTGTGGCTGTCCGTGTGAAACTCCGCATGTGTGCATGGGGACTGGGCATTAGTGAAATGTAAAACACTCAACATGTTCTTTCGTCCCCCGGACACCGGGCCACTGCCGTGCGAATGAATTATTGAATGTCGCACAAATGCAAGGAAGTCATTTGTAACTGTGGCTCCTTAACTACTACCCCCCAGTGTGTGTGTCTAGGTATGTTTGTATGTGTCTGTGTGTGTGTGAGTGTGTGTCTGTACATGTCTGTGTGTCTGTGTGTTCAGCCTTATCTGCGTCTCTGTGTGTTCATAAGTGTGTTCGTGTGCTTGTGTTTTCATGTGTGTGTCTGTCTGTGTTCATATGTGTGTGTATGTGTCTGTGTATTTGTGTGTGTGTGTGTGTGTGTGTGCGTGTGTATCTGCATGCTCGTGTGTGTGAGTGTGTGCGTGTGTAAGTGCGTCACAGACATTAGTGCTTTTTACAGTTTACACAATCAATGACTACGTTTACATGCAGTCAATATTTGGGTTAAGGTCAATATTCCAGTTTCTGAAACATTTGCAATAACCCGTTTAAATGCGTGAGCAAACAGGGTTATTCCTGTATACATGGTAATTGTAATCAATTGGGATATCCCAATCAAAACAGCGACGTACAGACAACGTCTCGACGCACGGAGAACGTCATGACGTAATGCGCGTCATTTCCGCTTCTTCTTCCTGTATCCAAAAACACAAAAGACCAAGATTCCTTGCAAATAGAACATGCGCAGAACACAATGTTCCTTTCGTTGGGGATATCCCGATAGGCGTATACATGACCAAATATTCGGGTTAGAAAAGGAGTAACCCAGGGGTCATTTTCGGGTTTTTAAAAACCAGAATATGAGCATATTCCGGTTTTTCAAAAGGGTTATTGGTGTTTACATGGCCGTGCGCAACCGGGTTATTGCTAATATTCCGGTTATGAAAGGGTTATTGACTGCATGTAAATGAAGTCTCTGTCTCTCTCAGTCTGGGCACAGGTAATAACTGACAATAAACCATTTAGCATTGATTTAGCATAAAAGATTGACAAGCAGAGTTTGTAATCATAGCAAAAAATGCAATTTCATTGTTGAAATCATCTAATTCAATAGGCATGTTCAAATCTAGTCTCTGACTATGGAAACTCCCAGCGAGCAGTGTGATTTCAGAGCTATTGTAGAGATGTCATTTCAGTCTCAATCCCTTAGTGCCAGCGTCATTATCTTCCATGCAATTTCAGTATTCCAGCATCAGTGCCATTCAGCATCCCTGCTTATTTTACTGTCTGTGTAATTTCCTCTCTACTCTCAGGGCAGCGAACAGGCATGAGTACGCACACTCGTGATTAATAAGTTTTCATCTCAATGCCAATGAAACTATCACGACAGTATGGTGTTCGTATGGTTACCACAGAACATATGCAAAGTTATTTTTTACCCAGGTTCCGTAAAATGGTCATGAAATGTTCCCTCTCTTATTACAGGTGATATGCTTCCCAAGGCAACCTCAAATGTATCGCTTACGTCTGAGGTTTTGCAAATTTTCATTTTAGCCCTAACAAAGTGCACCTCATTCAACAGCCAGGGAGCTCACTTAACTGCCAATTAGCAGAATTAGATGCTATACAGAAGTTGAAATGAAAGCCTGCAGGAGCAGGGTTTGTTGCCACAGGTTTATCATACAGGCAGCTGTACCAACAAAATTACCTCTTCCTTGCCTTTCTTCAGCACTCTAAACGTTAAACACGTCCTCCATGTTTACTGAGTTTTCAGTAGTCTGTGTTCTCCGCGGAGATAATGAAGCCGTTGGTCTTGTGTAATCAGGTCCAGTTTTGGTTTGTAGGTCAAATGACGGATGTTTCAAAGGAACGGCCGGTGCTGACAGCGGAACGATATGAGAAGCAATAAATCGCTGCTCTTTCTGCTGGCAGACTGCAGTCGCTTGACCTGCACATTCTTCTCTGTAACTAATGAGGAGTGTTTCACACACACACACACACACACACACACACACACACACAGCAGACACATACACACGCGCTCCAAAAAACACATACACAGATGTTTACTCTCACACTCTAAATAAACATATTCTCAAACAAACTCGCGCAGACTTGCCGAATAAATCCACATGCACGTGTGCGCACAGAGACACACCAAATAAACATATATAGACTTACTCACAAAGACTCAAAATAAATGCATACACTGGAGTGCGCACATGCACATGCTAAATAAACACATAGGCACGTGCACTCAAAAAATAAACACAAGCGTGCTTGCGCCCGCACACAAACACACACACACAAACACACACAAACTCTTCCCAAATCAACACATACACACATGCACACCGAGACACACCAAATAAACATATGCACGCATACTCATGAAGACTCAGAATAAACATCTGCACTTGTGTGCACACACATATCAAATAAACACATAGGCTGATACATACACACACACACACACACAAACACCAATATATACACATCTGCAGGTCCGCACGTACACGGATGCAGGTATATACCTCTGGAAACAAATACAGAAACACACACAAATGTGCAGACACAGGCCAGTAAACACACAATTACTCATGCACACATGCTGAAAAACACACACACGACCCTTCACGCATACACCACACACAAAGACCACCACACACTCAACTAACAGATAAATATACATATACACACATTCAAGCAAAACCCACATCACTCTGTTGACAGCTGAGGTAAGAATCCTCATAATACCTTGTCAGAGGATAAACGCTCACCCATTTTATTTAGGTTAAACGTCACTGCCGAACTTTTAATGAGTTTGTTGCCATGAGTGCCGTGGATTATTTGACGGAAAATGGCCAATGGATATGACCATGAGCTGGGCCATTTGGGAATATGAAAGTGAGGAGATATTCTTTTAGGGCGACAAGCACTCACCTTCCAGATGAAGACTGCAAGCAAAAACAGAGTCAGAACCTGAATCAGGGACAACGGCAGGAGGGATCCTATGGCACATATCAAACATGCTAATCCCGTGCAGAGAGGTCCCAGCCAGCTGAGACTCAAACCCAGAACCTCTTTATCACCAGGCAACAGCACTCACCACTGCACCACTGTGCCACTGAGTCAGGGATTCAGAAGTTCATGGATGTATTTGGGTGTGTGAGCCAGTGGCGGCTGGAGAGCTGGCGATAGGGGAGGCCCAAAACAATCCCTTAAAATTAATGATTGGTCACAACCTGTTTTCAGTCATTTATTTAAATTACCATTACAGAAACTCCGATAACTCTCAACATTATCAGATGTGGCCAGTTTTCATTTATGACGCATACCGATTACGACTCCGGACTTCTCACGCTTTTCTTTATTCAGGGATTGGAGGCAATGCATGTGTTCCATGATTTTTTAAATGAAATTAGATCATTTGAAATGTCTTCATGCAATTACATTGCTTCCAACCCCTCCAGCGCACAAGGATTTCAATTCCGCGCGAGAATCTCTTACATATGTGTTGATTGAATGATTGCTGACTACAGCAGGGGAACGTAAATATGCCACTTAAACTCACACCGAATGCGTGAGAGTTGACAGGTATGCGTTATAAATGAAAACTTGCCACACCTGATAATGTTGAGAGTTATCAGAGTTTCTGTAATGGTAATTTAAATGAATGATTGAAAACAGGTCATGACCAATCATTAATTTTAAGGGAATGTTTTGAGCCTCCCCTATCGCCAGTTCACCAGCCACCACTGGTGTGAGCATATGTTGTGTGTGTTTGTGTACATGCTACAAAGTGAGGACCAAAAAATGTTTTTTCCCACAGAGTGGGGACATTATTGGGACGTAAGGACATTCTCTTGTGTCCTCACAACTAAAAAGGCAAGTTGTGACTTATTAGTTAAGGTTAGGGGTAAGGTTAGAATAAGGGATAGGTTAAGGTTAGGGTAAGGCATACGTTAGGGTTAGGCGTACGTAGCTTGTACAACCCCAATTTCGAAATAGTTGGGAAAAAGTGTAAATTGTGAATAAAATCAAAACGCAATGACTTTCAAATCACACCAGCCAGTGTTTTATTCACAATAGAACAGAGATAACATAGCAAATGTTGAAAGTGAGAAATTTTACAATTTTATCCACAAAATGAGCTCATTCAAATTTGATGGCTGCTACAGGTCTCAAAAAAGTTGGGACAGGGGCCTGTTTACCATGGTGTAACATCCCCTCTTCTTTTTAACACCGAGTGGAGGCGTCTGGGCATTGAGGAGACAAGTTTCTTGAGTTTAGCCATTGGAATTTGATCCCACTCTTGTTTAATACAGGCTTCCAGCTGCTGGAGAGTTTTGGGTCTCCTTTGACGGACTTTTCGTTTAATTATGCGCCAAATGTTCTCAATCGGTGAAAGATCAGGACTGCAGGCAGGCCAGTTCAGCACATGGACTCTTCTACTACAAAGCCATGCTGTTGTAATAGCTGCAGTATGTGGTTTTGCATTATCCTGCTGAAATACATAAGGCCTTCCCTGGAATAGATGTAGTCTGGAGGGGAACATATGTTGCTCTAAAACCTTTATATACCTTTCAGCATTCATGGTGCTTTTTAAAACATGCAAGTGTCCCACACCATATGCACTAATGCATCCCCATACCATCAGAGATGCTGGCTTTTGAACTGAACGCTGATAACAGGAGGGGTGGTCTTTCCTCTTTAGCCCGGAGGACACGACGCCCATGATTTCCAACAAGAATGTCAAATTTGGACTCCTCTGACCACAGGACACTTTGCCACTTTGCTACAGTCCATTTTAAATGAGACTTGGCCCACAGAACACGGCAACACTTCTGGATCATGCTCAACAATGGCTTCCATTTTGCATGATAGAGTTTTAGGTGGCATCTGTGGATGGCACGGCGGACTGTGTTTACAGACAGTGGATTCTTGAAGTATTCCTGGGTCCATGTAGTAATGTCAATGACAAAATCATAGCGGTGAGTGATGCAGTGACGTCTGAGGTCTTCGGCCTTGTCCCTTACGCACAGAGATTTTGCCACTTTCTTTGAATCTTTTGATGATGTTATACATGTCGATGATGAGACCTTGAAAGCCTTTGCAATTTGATGTTGAGGAATATTGTTTTTAAAGTATTCCGTTATTTTTCTTACGCAAGCCTTCACAGGTTGGAGAGCCTCTGGCCATCTTCACTTCTGAGAGACTCAGCCTCTCTAAGACATCCCTTTTATAGCCAATCATGGTACACACCTGATGCCAGTTAACTTAATTACTTGCTAAATGTTCTTTCAGCTGATTCTCTTATATATTAATTGCTTTTTCAGCCTTTTTTCGCCTGTGTCCCAACTTTTCTGAGACCTGTTGCAGCCAGAAAATTTGAAAAGAGCTCATTTTGTGGATAAAAATCTGAAATGTCTCAGTTTCAACATTTGAAATGTTATCTATGTTCTACTGTAAATAACATATTGGCTCATGTGATCTGAAAGTCGTTGCATTTTGATTTTATTCACAATTTATATTTCGTCGCAACTATTTCGGAATTGGGGTTGTAGTTAAGATTAGGGAAAGGCTGTGGAGACACATAAACAATGAATGGAAGTCAATGTAATGTCCTCACAAAGATATAAGTACAAGAATGTGTGTGTGTGTGTGTGTGTGTGTGTGTGTGCGTGAGTATTTATGTGTTATTGAGTACATTGCAAAAACAGTGGAGACGTAGCCTGCTTCATACAAAGCACAAAGGTAGGAACCACACATAATGGGCAAGCAGCCCATATAGGGTGAAATAAGCACTCCATCTGTTTATTGTTAGCCAGTGCTAACCATGAGAGAAAAAAAAAACAATGCTGCTAGCTCTCTACACTGCAGAACCATTGAGAAACAATGGCTATAGATGCTAACCTTTAGCGTGGTTTTCATCAAAGCCTTGGGACCTATCTGGTATCTTCCTTCTGTAAATGCGAAGACTAAACTTGCGGGAACACATTACCACAGGCCGTTCATAGCTGTGAGCACTTTAGCGCTCAGGATTCGGGATGGAAAGTGAGCGATTTCAAACGTCTGGCCTCGGTCAGTTACACCCCCCCTCCCCGCACCCCCTGCTGCGAGACTCCGATGTTGTACTCGCCCCCCCTCCCCACGAAATGTAAACGAATACGTCCCCCAGGAAACTTTATGCGAGTGCTAAATTGTTCAGTGTTCCGTTTCTTTTTTTAGAGGGTTGCGGGAAAGCGATGGGGCTCTGGTAGCATGAAAATGCACAACAGAGGGTCATGGCATTTTTTCCCCATGTAACTAATGGCAAATAGAGTGTCCTGCCTGCAATACAATTCCCAGAGCCCCAGGAACCACATATTACTAACCTCTGTCAAAAAGACGTGTGTAAGGGGTTAATGGACGCAGGGCAGACATGCTAATGTTGTCGCCTGACCAGTCCTTCATTACACCATGACTAGGCATTTGACTTCACAGCTGTGGCACTTTTATAGGTCACAGGAAAAAGCACAGGAAATCCCTTCACCGGCAGTTTGAGCCAAGTGCTCATAGTGCTTACTCAGTTACGAATTGGTTCATTCTCTCTTTGCAGTCGTGGAATACATCATAAGTTTTTTTTATAAAAACACAATACACATCGAGCAACTGCCCAATCAGCACACACTGGCAAACAGACAAACTATTGCCAGTTTCAAGCGTTTTTTTTTTTTTTTTTTTAATGCTCTGCAGTGGAAATGTTTTAGAGCCAAAATCATCAGATATTTGCAATTTATTATCACAGTTTAGCAAGGGAGTTCACAGATGCAATTTTTTCGAGGCACAGCAATCTTGATAGCCTGTTTTATTTCATAATAGCAATGTGAGCTTCCAGCCCCATTTGCTGTATGCCTGATACGTCCTGTATTGGACTGGCTTACCAAAACGAACAGCCCCCATCCCACCACCCAACATGAAACACAGTCTGTGAGCTCTGGAATCCAAACAGGAAGTGATGAGGGGTACTGGGACCAGACCCTCATGAACAGCCCCCCCAACCCATCCCCTGTGTCAGTATCCCACCCCCAAGCAACACCCATGCTCACACAAACAACATCCAATTACTTTGCACCATGCTGGTTTCTATAAGGAATTAGCCACTGTAAACCTTGGATCTCTTGATACCAAGAGGTAGCCACATACAGCGGCTGAAACAAAATTTACTAAAGTTTTCAGGGAAAAAAATAATCTGGCTGTTAGGTAAGCATTCATGATGAGCTTATACATGTGAAATGTGTTGGCCTGGTGTTCTTTGAGCATTGCCATGCATCCATAGTGTAAACACGACCTCAAATGAACCATGACATTGTCAGTCTGTTTTATGCCTGCCAGACCACCCAAACATTCTTTGAACTTCAGGCCAAGTGTTCTATTCAAAGTGTATTAAACTCATATAGTTAATTACTTCTATTACTATAGTTTTACTGAATTTGTTGTCATTAGTGCTTTTAACACGGTGTTAGTATTAATAATCTTGTTGTTTACCCATCACGGCTATCGCTTCAGTAAATTTCAGCAACAGAACTTTTATGAGTTTTTTTGTATGGTTAAACAATCCAGGCTCAATGTACTGTTTCACATACACCTTCATGCACAATCTGATATTGCTATGTCAGTGTTGCTCCAACTGGGATTAACAAAATAATGCTTGTCCAGGAATGACATTACAATTCACCAGTGAATAGCAACCCTGCTATGATGACATCATGATACCATGAAGGTTTTGCAACCATCACACGTGACGAGCAAAGACTTTTGGCTAGCTGTTCGAACCAGCAAAATCCTTGAAGGTAACCTATTTAAGAGGGAAAGTGATGTGAAATTTATATAAAATTCATAATGTAAAAAACATTTGGGTTTTCTTGATGACAAGTACAGCCCCAATTCCAAAATAGTTGGGACAAAGTGTAAATGGTTAATAAAATCAAAACGCAATGGCTTTCAAATCACACCAGCCAGTATTTTATTCACAATAGAACAGAGATAACATAGTAAATGTTGAAACTGAGAAATTTTACAATTTCATCCACAAAATGAGCTCATTTCAAATTTGATGACTGCTACAGGTCTCAAAAAAGTTG